GAACGCAGGTACAGATAATAAACATACGTCTTTTTTTTTTTCTATTTATAGTATGTTTTCTGCAAACAGAGATCGATCTTAATTTATCAAAATTGTTGAGACAAAAAAAAAAGTATGGTTCAAAATTGGTTAGGTATATCCGTTGTAGTAGAGGATTAAATGTTCCTGACTATCGCTTGTTCCTAATGGATTGAATCAATCTTCATAAAGATCACGATTAATGGTTAAACCTTCTCAACGACAAAACGCTTATAGAGAAAATAAACGAGAAGAAAAGGAACAAATAATACTTAGTCAACTATTTAAAGGACTTTTTGTCGATAGCCATATTTGATAACAGCATTGAGAAAGAGCTGTAATCAGGTGAAGAAACAAAGATGGGACAGATTTTAGTCAAAAATTAGAAGCAGATAAAATAAATGCAAAAAGAAGGAACTTCTTTTATTTTTTGAGTACTATCAAAAATTATGTATTTTATTACTACCATCAAAAATTTTACCGTATCATAAAAATATAATTTATCAGCTAACACTACCTTCCTCCTGTTTTATTTAATCCATCCAAATAGTTGCAGCCTGCAGGTAGTTTAGCTCAATAAGCGTTACCAAAAGCAGAAAAATAGTTAAATGGTTAAGAAAAGTTTGCAATGTGCCGAATATTCGGCATCTGGCAGCGGGGTTGTCCATGAAAATGGTCACTGGTTTCATCCAAAATGTCTACGTGCTTCACTTTGAATGCAACTTTGAAGCGACGTCACTTCACATGAGAGTGAAACTGAAATGCGGTTGTTCGTGAGGAGCGCTTTTTTACCGGTTATATTTCTGCAACTGGTGTTTGCAAAGTTTGGTTAGTTGAAAATTTTTGATTTGTTTAATGAAACTTATCAGTTTCGTATTGGAAACTGTTGTCAAAATTATTCAAAGCTTAAAAAATAGTTTTTTCGTTCTGTGCTAATTGAACTTGCGATATTAGTGACTGTAATTCATTTTGACATCAAGTGATGTATATAAGAATATACAGATGGTTTTTAAAGGTTTCAGTATTGGTGATAATCAAAATTTTTCCTGCATTAAAACTATTAAGTAATTTGAATATTTGTTTTTGGTATAATTTTAAACACCAAAATCTGTTTTACTCTTTGAAATTTTTG